AAAGGTATCCACTGATTAATAATCACTTCCATTTAGTGGCCACCAATCAAATACCATCTAATTTTCTCATCTCTACAAGTTAGGTACATAATAAATAAAAATAAGTACAAAGCCACAAAGAAACTCAAACCCATTTAATTAACACTAAGAATAGAATCAACTTTGTTTTTTTTTTAATACAGACGGGCAAAACGTTGCTCGTTTACACTTAGCATTATGACAATCTCAACGGTATAGACGATGACAATTCCACAACATATGCAGTAAATTTATGCTCATGGCATTTTTAGATTTTTGGCGTAAAGTTGTACTGACTTCAACATAGTGGCTCTTTTTGCAGTCACACATGCAGAAGATGGCATAAGAATTTACCATGTGGACTTTCAGAAGTGTTCAAAGGTTTAACTGCATAACAGTCAAAGTTTTTATTTTCGTTTTTCTCCCATGAAGTGCTATTACTGGGGTGTGGGAGGGGGAGAATGCAGGGTTCCAACTTCTACAATTCCAAGACTTTTAACACCGAGGACCTGGAAGGGCTCTAAAGCAAAAATCTTCGCCACAAAGAGCAATCTACTTATAGCTGTGGGTTCGGTGGCGGGAGAACTGCAGCCAACATATATATATATAGACAAATAAAAGGATTATCAATTCTGAAAGGGTACAGGGCACAGAATTCACTTTCCCCACGCCTCTCCTCCCATCCTGCGGTGGACGGAACCTGACACCCTTTTTAAAAAGGCTCTTTCTCTTCCAGTTTAGCGCCTAACCAGGTCCACGCAGAGGTAGTGGCGACGCCTACATCTCCCTCCTCCACCTATGCACCCAACACCAGAGTGCCCGGGTACACCGCAAAAAAGCCCTGACCGCCCCCCCACGCTTTGGCCCCGAAAAGCAGAGCTCCTAGGACAAGGCCTCCAGTACCCCGCGTGCGTGCGTGCGCTCGCTCCACGCCATCTGCCACCAAGCCTTCAGCGTCCGGTCACTGCTTCCCCTTACTCCTGCCACAAAGCCTGTGACCAACTCCGAGGGGTCGAGTCGGCCGCACACCACCGGGGCAGGGACCTCCGGCCCTGCCGGCAGGCCTCATCCAGCGCCCGGGGCCCGAGACCCAAGCACGCCGCGCTCTCCCAAGTGCACCCGGGGCTCTCCCCGCTCAGGGAACCGCCGGGCCCTGCTCAGCGCTGAGCCGGGGATCCCGCGCACTGCCGCGCCGACCCCCGCCCAGGCCCGGCGGCCCGTGCGCGTCCGCCCCTTCCCCCGCTCCCCGCCGCTCGCACCGTCTCGTCCGGGTCGATGTCGATCTTAAAGGTCTGCTGCTGCAGAGTCTTCAGGGTGACCTGCATGGTGCCGCCGCTCCGCTCCGCTGCCGGGCCTGCTCCGGGTGCTGGCCGCTGGGCGGGGTCTGTGGCCTGGCGGGGCCCCGGGGTCGCCCGCGCTCCTCGTGCTCTCGGGAGGAAGGCGGTGGGGGTGGGGGTTTGTCACATTCGCCCCGCGGATCGGCCTCTCCCCCAGCCGTGGCCTCGGGCCGCGTCGCTGCCTCCGCGACTGCGGCCTTTCCCGCGAGCTCGAGCCGCCGTGCTTCGTCAAGTTCCTGGCGCCAACCACTGAGTCTGAAGGAGGTTCGAGAAGCCCTTGGAAACAAGCAGAGAATCCGCTAGCTCACCACAAGCCGGTGGCCGCCATCATCGTGACTCGCCGAGACGCACCCCCTCCCCCATCCGAAAAACCTGGGGGATGGGGCTGGGCGGGCAAAACGCGCAGGCGTAAATTGCGGCGAGCCTGTGCGCAGGCGCGACTAAGAACTCCGCCCCGGAATTGGGACCCGGTGATGGCGGCTCTGGAATGTCCTCGGCCTGGACCTGGTGTGCGCAGGCGCAGTCCGCGTGTCTAGTGGGCTTTTGGGGCTGCCTGGTTGCGTCTGCACCCCTGGGTGTTCTCCCGCCTGCCGTCGCTCCGCCTACGTCCAGACTCCGCCCGGCTGCCCCGGCTCGGATTGCGCAATCCGTAGCAGGGGAAACGCTACGTGGAGACCGGATTCAGTGGATTCTGAGCTCGGGAGCTGGGGAGCTAGAGGGTGGTAGGTCGGGGCCGAGCTTAAGTGAAGGATCGTGGTCACCACAGTAATGAGCCGGCGCATATGGAACGCTTGTTGCGTAGCTGAGCCTTTGTTGTGGCGACTGGTTCTTTAGCCTTGGAAGCAAAGACTCTAGCGCCCAGATTGCCTATGTGGACCTTGAGCCTAAATAGAAGGAGGAGTCAAGTTATATCACTCCTTTGCGGAGAACTGTTCAGTAGCTCCTTAGCTCACCCAGAGTAAAAGTCAGAATTGTTGAACTGCGTGCATAGCCCTTGCCTCTCGCCTCGTCTTAACTCTCCCCCTTGCTCTGGGTGGTGGTGGTGGTGGTGGTGGTGGAGGTGGAGGTGGATACTAAACATATGCTCCCTCCTGGATTTGCACTCGTTCTCGCTCGCAAGAGCTCTGTCACCGGACACCTGCGTGGCTCGCTGTCTCGCCTCCTTGAAATCTTTGCTCAGTAGTCACCTCAGCGAGGTCTAACTTGGATCCCTGACTTAATGCCGCAACTACCATAGGTCCGTTATCCTGCTGAGAATTACCTTATAATGTACATCTTTTTTAAAAAGTGTTTTTCATCTTGTTCCTTTCTCTATACCCCAGACTGAAACTGTGCGAAGGCGAGGATATTGTTTTGTTAACCGTGTTCCCCCAGCATGAAGAAATATGCCTGGCACAGAGCAAACACACAGATGTTTGTGGAATGGGTGAATGGGCTTCCGGTTCCTCATTAGCAAGATGAGACTACTAGCCGCATTCAACTCTATTGATTATTGGCGCGGGGTGGGAGGGGGTTGAGTAATGTATGTTAAATCTTAAAATCTTAGTACAAGGAACATAATAAGCAGTCCATACGTAGTTAGCTATTAATAGTATGTCCATTGACAGGTAAGAAAACTGAAGTATAGACATACTGAGTAATGTCCCTGGAGACACCTTCCTGGTAAGTGGTTGATGCCAACCACTGATTAGGACCCAAACAGAATGGCTCCAGGGCCTTTGCTCCTAGGTGCTTGGCTATTCTGTCTCTTAATAGGACACATTAAGGTACTCCCTTTGGCACTTTTGACTTTAAGTGGTTCAGGTGAAAAGCAAAGTTAAAATTAAACCACTAGCTGTGAGACCAGTTGCAAAGTATTTTTGTGGGACAGTGTCCTCACTGATACAATGTCACTGCTTGGTGTTCCATGAATACTAGGGGTTCAGATATTCTGTGGAACTTTCCTTGACCAGCCTCCCTCTTCACTAACCAGGTGTTTCCCCTTCACAGCAAGTATCTTCTCCTTGTAATTCAATATCTGACCCTCTGCCTTCCATTTTTTGGTGTCTCTGCCATGAGTCACTAGGTGATCTCATCCTTGCTTTGAAATGCCTCCAGCCTGGACCTTTCCTTTTAGCTATAGATAGGATTAGCCAATTGCCTGTGCTATATCTTCACTTGAAATATAGCAAGCCTCTGAAACTTAACTCAGCCAGACTCATTAATTTCCTGTAATAGTTCATGGTACCCCCATCTTACCCAGATGGTAGGACCAAAAATCTAGTCATCATCCCTGATAGGTCTTCTTCCTCCCTTCTTCCCCTTCAACCACCACATCTAATCTATTACCAAGTTCTGTGAACTTTATTCTCCATACTCTATCCCAGTTTCAGCCATTCCTCATTATTTTTACTTCCGCCACCCTAGGCTAATCCATCGTTATCCTTCACCTGCCTCCCAACTGATCTCCCCGCTTCTACTCTTTTCCCCCAGCGGCCACCCCAGCAGTCAGAGTGGTCCTTTTCAAAATAAATCACATCATGCCCCATCTATTAGTAATAGCTAATTACACTTTAGAATAAAATTCAAATGCTTTACCTAGCCTTGGACAGCTCACATGGTCTAACTGCTGCCAGATTCTCTGGCCTCATCTCATTCCTTTCCTCATTTACTGTCATCCATCTGAACTACATTTCTTGCATCCTTCAAACAAGCTACGCTGGTTCTAGCCTCAGGGCCTTTGCAGTTGAGATGACTTCAGTTTGAAACTCGGTGTTCCCCCTTCTTTAAATAGCTAACTCCTTTGCATAATTCAGGTTCCAAGTTAAATTTTACTTCCTCAGAGAGGACTTCAACAACTTTCCTAACAGAATAAACATACTATGTTGCCCTTTACTCTAGGCCTGGCACTGTTCTAGGCACTTTTCATGGATACTCTTATTTAAGCCCCTCAAAACTCCACAAGATAGGTGCGACAGTACCCTGGTTTAAATTTTTTCATGGATCTACCTAAAATTATTATTTTTTAACTTGTTTCCTATATGTCTCACATGACTACCCCACTTACCATGTCTGCCTTTTGGAGAGAGGAACTCACTGTCTTATTCAGGGCTCTTTTCCCAGCACATAGAATAGTGCCTGGAACGTAGCAGGTGCTAATTGCATATGTTGACTGACTCCCAACTTAGTAAGCTCTATGACACCTGATGTGTGTCACTCTTGTTCATAATGGTATCTTTGGAGTCTAACACAATGTGGATGTTCAAATATATTCATTGAAAAAATGGTGAAGTCACTTTAGTTAAAATTGACAACAGTTGTAAGAAAACATGCGAAGACATTTAAAAAGTAGAATATACTGTGTAGAGTTTTTATAATATTAAAATGTATCCCCCAAAAAGTTTCCTGATACAACTACTATTGTCTGCAGGGAGAAAAAAGAGGAGACGAGAGATGCCTTTCCATGTATTAGTGGGTATTTTTTAAAACTAATCTTTTGCTCATGGCTATAGTCAATAGTATAGAAAAGGAATGATTGAAAGTAAAAGTCCTCCTCCCCCATTCTGAGAAATAAGCATTGTTTTGAGTGTCTCTAAAATTTTTCTAGATGTATACAATATATTCCCTCAATAAGTTGTGACAACAGTAGATTTTAAATGTCAGTTAATTGAAAGATGCACCTAAGAATATTTCCTAAAGTACAGTGTTAAGATATAAAGTTGCTGTAGTGCATTCAGATCTTATCATCCACACTAATACCATGCAGCCAAAGAGTAAGTTGTAATAGTCTAGTGTTGTCTCATCAGGCATAATTTACCACTGGCCAACCTCCAAATTCCCACACAGGAAAAAAAAGAAAGAAAAAGGTGTTTTTGTTTTAATTTCTAGAAAAACTGTGACAGACATACCCACTCTTGGCCCAATGGCACAGTTTGGACAGGCTGTATGCCTCCATGTGAGGTGTAGTTGCCTTTGCCCAGAGTCCCACAGTTCATGTGACAGATGACAGGACCCCGACTCCCAAAGCAATGGCCACTAAGGTGAGGGCACTTGTGAACCAGGCCTTGTAGGATAGGCCTTGGGCTTCTTTAAGAGCTACTGAGCCAAGATAAAAAGATCAAGGGGAGTCATTCCAAATATTTGGTAACAAGCCAGGGAATCTTGCTTATACTTTTTGGAAATCAGTCAAATGATTTCAGGGAAGAGGATGAGCCAGCAGAGATGGAGCATCTGCTGACTTAGAAAATATCAGGGTGAAAACACCAGACTTAAAACCATTCATTCAGCAAATAGTTACTGAGACTCTCTCCTTGCTAGGCACTGTTCTGGGTGCTGGGGAATACAATAGGGAACAAGACAAAGTCCCTGCTCTCAAGGAGTTTGTATCTAGTGCAGCAATTTTGCAACCAGTGTGCCACAGCAAGTATACTGGTGTGTTGAAAGAATTTTTAAAACATGCAATACCTGACTATTTCCCTCATAAGGGAAAACCTCTTTTCCCTTAGATTATCAAATTAAAAAAATGACAACAGCCAACACAACAGTAGCCATCTGGTGTGGATGAATCAAAATTACACCTTTTTTTTGGTCAGATTGACAAAAAAAAAATATTTTTTGGAGTATTGCAGAATTTAATAGTTTATGTGTGCCATGAGATGAAAAAGGTTGAAAATTGCTGTTCTAGGGGGATAACAGATAAACAGATAATAAACTAAAATCAGATATTTATACTATATCAGGTGTTGATAAGTGCTATTTTTTAAAAAGCATGTGAAGAGGATCAGAAAATTCTCGGAAAAAATAGAGTTGCTACAGAGAACTCACCAGATATGTTTCATTCCTCTTCCTCCATCATTCTGTCTTCCCTCTTCTTCAGCCAGTAGTTGACCCCAAGAAGGCTGACCTCTGTGAGTTACACAATTGGCTTCACGGGGGGTCCTAGCAGGCCATGTGAGTGAGGGAGGAGAGAGAGGTTAAGGAATTTATTTCTCTTTTTGGCTGGCTGTGCTCTCGATGCAAGGTCATTGTTTCTGTAGGGTGGCCCTCCAGGTGACTTGCTTCTTACAGGTGATTCTTTCCTTACAGGTGATTCCCTCCTTTTAGGTTCTAGTAACTGCTCCCTTTTTTGCCCTTTTAGGCCTGGTGAGCCCTTATTTTTCACTTCAGGGCACTGCATTCTCCCTGTGGTTTCCCTGTATTGGACTCTGCCCTACATCATTGTAAAAAGTCTCTTTATTGAATCTCCCTGGAATACACCCATATTAGTTTCCTACGGCTGCCATAGGAAAGCACCACAAACTGGGTGGCTTAAAACAATCAAAATTTATTGTCTCATAGTTCTGGAGGCTAGAAGTCTAAAACTGAGGCATTGGCAGGGCTATGCTCCCTCTGAAACCTGACAAGGAAGACCCTCGCCTTGTTCTAGCTTCTGTTGGTTTGTGGGCAATCGTTGGCTTTCCTTGGCTTGCAGCTGCAGCACCTCAGTCTCTGCTCCCATCTTTATATGACGTTCTCCCTTTGTATGTCTGTCACTCTGTGCTTCTTCCAAAAAGGATACCGGTGAAATAGGAAAAACTTTATTGTTCCTCCTGTTACACTCACCAGTCAATTATTACTCTCAATACTTCCTGTCACCAAATGTATGGGGTTTTTCCCCCCACACCAAGCAACTCTTCCGTTATCTGCAGACACCAGCGGAATGTCCTACATGTCAACTAAATTCTGGCACTATCTACCATTGAGATAGCACCAGATCCCACAAGATAAAGGCTCAGTCTCACAAGACTGCCCCCACATCAGATGTCAATTACAAGTCCCAACTTGTCACCTGTACTTAAGGCCAACTGGCTATAAGCTGGAGTTCCCACAACCCCCTCCTTGGGTTTGCTAATTTGCTAGAATATTTCATAGAACTTGGAGAAACACATTTAGCAGTTTATCATATAATAAAGGATATGATAAAAAGATACAGCTGAACGGCCAGATGAATAGATACATAAGCAAGTGTCCTGAGTGCAGGAACTTCTGTCCCAATGAAGTTTGGGTGCCCTTCCCTCCCAGCACATGGATGTATTTACCAACCCACAAGCTGTCTGAGCTCCATAATTTTGGGTTTTAATGGAGGTTCCCTTACATACACCTGGTCATGTATTAACTCAATTTCCAGCCTTTCTTTCCTGTCTGGAGAAGGGGTGCGGGTAGGGCTGAAAGTTCCGAACTTATAATCATGGCTTAGTCTTTCTGGTGACCAATTTCTACCAGGAGTCTACCAAGAGTTGCCTCAGAATAAGACACTCTTATCACCCAGGAAATTCCAAGAGACAGGAGTTCTATGTCAAAAACCAGGGTAAAAGATCACATATTAGCAATAATCAGGGACACAGAACAATATATATATTTTTAATTATATATAAGACCAATATCTTACTTCACGCCAGTATATTGGATTAAGGACTCACCCTACTCCAGTATAACTTGAATTACAACTGCTCGACCCATAAGGTAGCATTCTGAGGTACTGAGGGTTAGGTCCTCAACCTATCTTTTGGGGTGGGGGACACAATTCAATGTGTTGTAATACCTAATTTGAGTGTAGCATGTGTTTCCATTGAGACTCTGACATACAGGTTAATCGAGGAAAGTCTCCCTGATAAGGTGACAGAGTTGAGAAAAACAAGCAGATACCAGGGAGAAAAAGAGGGAACAATACTAATAACTATAAATGTTTATACTCATATAGCACTTATTATTGCAGATACAGGGCCATGAGGTAGACGCTTCCTTGACTTGTTGGAGGAATACCAGGAGGTCAGATGATGGAAATGAGGAAGCAATGGAGAGGGAATAGCTGATGATAGCAGAGATGTAAAGAAGTGGGGCAACGGCAGAAAGCCATTGTGAAGCCTTTGACTTTTATTCAGAGTAACATGGAAAATCATGGAGGGTTTAAGGTAGAGGAGTGACAGCATCTGACTTATGTTTTGAAAGAATCACTCTGATTGCTGTGCGGAGAACTTCCTGTGGGGACGGCAAAGATGGATGTGGAGACACCAGTCAGGAGATTATTGTAATAATCCAGAAGAGAGTGGTGACTTTTACCAGGGTGGAAGCTGTGCAAGTGGGAAGTGGTTGGATTCTGGATTTATCATAGAGCTTACAGGCTTTGTTGATGGGAGTCAACATGGGGTGTAAGAGAAAGAGGCTCCCCACACATACGTTCACGTTAGGAAACTTCCTTGGAATGGTCCTCCTCATTTAAGAGTGGCCGCCCTGACTGATAATGTTCTGCAGGGTACCAATCTAATCCAGAAAATGTTCTGTGAGCACCTACTCTGTACAGGCATTGTGTTGGAAATACAATGATGGACAACGTCTGATTCTGAATTCTATTCATAAAAATAATAGGGTTTGTCATAAGCCCTTCCATTTCCTATTGGTTTATGACAGAAATTGTATGTTAATAGAACCTCTTTCGAAGTTCTAGACTTTTTTTTTCATCCTCACTTGAGTATATGTTTATGTATCTGACAGAGAAAGGGTGGGGGGGGGAGAGAGAGAGAGAACATTGATGTGAGAGAGAAACATTGACTCCTACACACACCCTGACCGAGGATGGAGCCCACTAGCTAGGTACATGCCCTGATCGGGAATTGAACCTTTTTTTGTACAGAACAATGCTCTGACCAACCAAGCCATCTGGCCAGGGCAGTTCTAGACATTTGTAGAGTGGTGCAACTCATTATTAAAAGTATTTCTGCATACCACAATTCAATTAAATATATCTACTTTTAAAAACAATTGCAGCCCATGACAATTGAGCTTTAAAAACATCTTTGGGCTTCTTGCTCAGGTTTCTGTCTTCCTCAAACACCGCCTTCCTTCTTCCACCCCAGGTTTCTCAGCCCTGTGAATCTCTTTCGTGGTTCAGTCACTATGTCAGTTTAGGCCTCTTGGAAGAAGCAGACAATGAAATAGAGTTAGGAGTACAAGAGCTCTTTTGGTGGGTATCCACCGTGAAAAATAAAGGGGAGGAAGCAGGATTTGGTGAAGAAAGCCTTCGGACCATAATGCGGATTACGTTTGCAGTCAAAGGAAAGAGGGAAGGAAGCAGAATTGGGTAGAGATTGGCTCGGACCGTGGTGCAGAGCTGACAGGCTCAGGCAGTCCGTCGGGCAGCTCTGGAGTAGAGATTACTTATTAGAGCAGTCAGTCTTTGTGCAAAATTTCCAGGCTCTGGTATCCCTGCCATGTTCAGTGGCTAGGGACTGCCTAGGAAGAGCTGTCAGCTAACTGAATTTCTCACAGGCAAGATTTTTCTTGAAGGGCGATCTGAGCAGTGTGTATCTTTGGCTGCCACAGGCTTCTGCTCGCACCCTGCAAACCCACTTATCCACACACACTCAGGAAGCAGCTGCTCCAGGGACCCACTGAGCATCTCTTATTAAAGGAAACTTAGAAGAGGTAGGACGGTGGGACAAACCGCACAGTCCCTACCAGCAGCTGGTTTGAGGGCAACTGCTGGAAATCGTCATTTCCCTCCTCCACTCTCCACACTAAGCTCCCTTGTTCTACTGATCTTGGTTTACCTAGTGGCGTGACCCAGACCTTTATTCCTGAGCAGAATGAGCCTTTGGCAATGACATCGTTTTCAAGCTAGGGTTGCTGCACTTGTCCATTCAGTCACAGATGGCCAAGTGAGTAGCAAGAGGCATTGAAATCAATTCTACATATACTTCCTGTCCCTGCTGTGTAACAGCGGTCCTATCTCCTGTTGCTAATAAGGACCGGTTATTCCTACCAAGTCGATGATTCTTCTTACTTCTTGATTCCTTAATATAAACAGCGGCAG